TCATTTATACGAAGGGTATTATGTGTTTGATGTTTGTATGTTGGGACTACATTTAGAAAGGAATGATAAGATAAATACAAAGCAGCAGGGAGAGAGGCGTCGGAATAACTGTCTTTGAAGCCTTTCTGGGCACATCGCTCGTCCTTTCCGGTTTGGCTTATCATTCTAATGCTTCTCTCTACCCTTGTATTGCTTCTCCCTCATCCCTTTTCCCTGCACGTATCTCTCTCTGTGTGATGTGCTGACAAATCCACGGGAGTGCTTGCTTGTCTGTGCTCGCATCTGGGAGGCCAAGGCAGATGTGCGAAGCCATCCTCCATCACTCTCCCACAGTACCCACCGAGGCAGGGTCTCTCCGGTGAACCTGTTGATTCAACCAGGCCGACTGCCAGCTTGCTCCAGGGATCTCCTCTCTCCAAATCCTAGGAGCTGAAATTACAGGAGGCCCACCAAGCCTAGTCCTCCAACACTGCTTCTTCTTTTTTTTTTTTCTTTTTTTTCTTTAAAAAGAAAAAACAACTGTTCAAAGTCTGTTTTCTGTTTCCATGATATCGATCCACTTTTTTTGTTAAATGTCTCTGCCTTCATATTTCTAAAAGTGTGATGCTCACAAATTAGCTTGACAGAGTGGCTGCTCCTTAGGTAGCTACGAAATAGTCCATAAGTCTCTCTTTCTCCTGGTGGTGATGGAGTGGGCAGGACCAGGGACTAGTTCTGACTGGTCTTCTCCCTGGAGTTTGGTGACAATAGCTGAAAGACTACTGTCTCCTGGGAGAGCCATTGTCTACCCTATCTTTAAATTACCAAATCCCAGAATGGGAGCTGGCAGTAGCCAAGGGCGCTGCTGGCACAGGCGCTTTGTGGAGCTGACTCCTCACTTCACAAAGGAAGCGGCTCACAAGGGAAGAGCGCAAGGTGAAACTCAACTCTCAGGAGGTTTTAAATTTGGTTTGAAGTTCATTTGAGTTGAAGGAAGGTGTCATTGTCCCTGTTCTTCTGGGTTGTTGTTTTGTTGTTGTTGTTGTTTTGTTTTGTTTTTTAATTTCTTCCTATTTCTCTTTATTTTTTTGCGACTCTAAATAAATAAATAAACAAACAAATAAATAAATAAAATCTGAAAATATAATCCGGACTCTTGGGCGAGGGACATTCTTAAGGCTTTTAGAGTCTGTAATTACCCTGTAAAGTATTTGCACGCATTGAGCCTGAAGTTTCTATGCTTAGCATATACGAAACATTTAAAAGCATGTACCTATTTTTTGTTTGTTTGCTTCTTTGTTTGTTTTTTGAGATAGGGTTTCTCTGTGTAACAGCCCTGACTGTCCTGGAACACACTCTGTAGACCAGGCTGGCCTTGAACTCAGAGAGAGGTCCACCTGCCTCTGCCTCCCGAGTGCTGGGATTAAAGGTGTGCGCCATCACCGGCTCATGTAGCAAATTTTTAAAACTAATTAACATCATAGGAAGTGTTGACTGCCAGGGATGACAGTGAACCTCTCCATTGTAAGCTGAGGAAATGCACACGACAATTAGTGGTTTGCCCAAAGCCACACTGTCTTGGGCATCATGCGGATGGAAACAATGGTCCTCCTTATAAGCAAAAGCACCCGTGTTTTCATGTAAGACACCATGGGCCTTAGCCAAATTGACCTAAATTAAGAATCAGGGAGTAACAAGCCTTTTGGTGTTTGGAAGAGCCTACCACATCAAACCACATTAACCACAAAGAGCTGGTTTGCTTCTTCAAGTTACCTGCAGAAGTTTTAAATAGGCCTTGGTTTGTTATTTTCGGTTTCTTTTTTTTTTTTGAAGGAGACTTGTTTGCTTGAGATCAAAAGCTGTACATCTGGCTAAACATTGCTAGGAAAACTGAAAAGCAGCTGTCTGAGGCTCACCGTGAGGTGGACAGCAGTGTCTCAATTAGTCAGTCTCTCTGTCTCTCTGTCTCTCTGTCTGTCTGTCTGTCTCTACTGTAGCATTCTAGTTCTGTGGACAAGAAAGGAGCTTTCTATTAGAATCCTATTAGAAGCTTTCGTTTTAAGAAGAGTCTTTAGGGGCTGACCTGGCCAGTATGTATACATGGCCTCCTAATACATCAACCCCTACGGAACTGAGTGGCAAGGCAAGAACTTATGGTGAATTCCAGGTCCACCGCTTTCAGAGAGATTTCTGTAGTTATTATTCTTCCACGCCAGCATTTGCTAGCTCACTTCACAAATTTTTTCACCAAAAACTGAAGATTTTTAAAAGTATTTAAAAGTTTTAAAAAGTAGGGTTTTTTTTTTAATTCTCTTTTCTTCTTCCCTAAACCTCACTTGGAAGCTTGACCTTGTTTGAAAAGAAATAAATAATAAAGCGCTCCTTTTAAGCTGTCACTACCACTAGCAGTAGGGAATCGCTTACACTCCTATGGAAATAAAACACGGTGTCGTATAAATCCAAGCTAAAGCAACTTGCGATTGTAGAGAGAAGCAGCCTGACAGAGGCTTCCGCCAGGGGCTTATTTCAGTGTGTGAATCTGGAACTTTAACTCCACCCTAGATCCATCGGATTTAGGGACTAACTCACGTGTTCACAGAGATGACAAGTTACTAATAGCTTGGTGACCACAGAATAATCTCCATTTTTACCACAGGTTCATTCTGTGAGGAGAAACGTGGTAAAGTCTCTTCAGCATCCAGTTCGTTCTAACCAGAAGTCTCCATCCTTCTACCCACTATGCTTACACGGTGCACGCTACCTTCTCAATAATCACACAGTGGCTAGCTGTCTTAGTTAATAGGTTAAGATAATTATTTTGCTTAGCGGTGCCCGTCAACTGCTGAAGTAACAAGGCCAGCTGTTTGAATAAATCAAAAGAAAGCCATGAAGTACTTTCTTTATGTGAAAGGGTAGACATCCTCAACTTAAAGAAAACTCCTATAACTGAGAATGTATCACACTCCCACACCCTACATCCCCATATCCCTATACTCTCACACCTCCACACCCCCAGCCTTCTGAGTACTGAGGTTGCAGGCATACTTGGTCATGCCCTGTTAAATTAGATGTTCTTAAGGAATGATTATCTTGGGCTGAAATAGTTGGGTATGTGGTTTGTTGACACAGGAAAAATAAACCCTCTGTACAATTGTGAAGGAAAAAGGAATCCATATTGGTTTTGTCTTATTCCTCAAACTAGAAGGTATGGACTACAGTATGTGATAAGTGCCAGTTAAAATGGGCGAGGCATCAGATGACAAAGTTAGACACTCAATGTTTTTAAGCATCTATGGAGAGTCCTGGATTATATCCTGTGGATGAGGGGGACTAGTGGATATTAAATCTTGGGGCAGGGTAAAGATATCTTACAGAATAACCAGCCTTGATTCTTTTATTTTTTATTTTTATTTTTTTTGGTTTTTCAAGACAGGGTTTCTCTGTGTAGCCCAGGCTGTCCTGGAACTCACTTTGTAGACCAGGTTGGCCTTGAACTCAGAAATCCGCCTGCCTCTGCCTCCCAAGTGCTGGGATTAAAGTCGTGTGCCACCACCGCCCGGCACCAGCCTTGATTCTTTACTGTCTTGGAAGGAAGCATGTATTCACACATTTAATGGCGATTGCTTCTATGGGAGTTCTTATGTGTAACCTGGTACATGGGCCAGTGTCCCAACCACCTACCTTTGTGATCCTTTGGTGGTGGGAGCCTAACTTTTCTGATTTTTTTTTCTCTTCTTCTAATTGTGCAGTTGGAATATTAATGTCTTTTGGAGATGTTCTGTGAGCTAAATGCCTTAACATGAAACCTGGAAGATAATAACTGCTCTTACTATGATGTCACTGGAACCATTGTCTACGTTGTAACTTACAAGTCAACATAGAGGACTGAATAACAGGGCAGAAAACTGCTCACTGAGCATGGAGTCATTTGAGAAGCTAGATGGTCTTTTTGTCTTTTCCTTTTTGAGACAGGGTCTCACCACATATCTTAGGCTGCCTTCACACTGATCCTTCCGCCTTTAGATGCCTAGTTTAGGGATTATAGACATGTGCTGCTATGGTCCACTATGGTAGATGCTTATTTTTAAAAAGTTATTTTATGTTTAATTCCCTGTCTCTGTCTGTCTGTCTGTCTCTCTGTGTATTGGGGGTGAGGTGCAATGTGTATGTGGGTGGGTGCAGTGACCTCGAAGGACAGAAGGAGATGTAAGATCCTTGGAGCTGAAGTTACAGGTGGTTTTGAGCCCCTGGACATGGATGCTGGAACTTGAGGCTTCTGCAAGAGCAGTGTGAACTCTTAAGTGCTGAACCAGTTCCCTAGCCTCCTAGTTACATGTTCTTAAACGATGACAGCACTGGACTGGAACAGTTGGATGTGTGGTCAGTTGCATAGAAGACACTGGTCTTAGAATCTGCATATTACTTAGCCAAGACTGTGTCAAGTCCACTCACATCTTCATTTGTGGTTTCTGGTTTTCCAAATTGCATGAAGTCATCACTTGTGTGTGTGTGTGTGTGTGTGTGTGTGTGTGTGTGTGTATGTGGAGTTCTGATTTATTTTATTGCAGCTGTATTTAGTAGTGACAAAGATTGACTGGTTTGCTTTGATTGCTTTGCTTTCAAAGGCAGCTCTTGGGGGATAATCTGTTACACCACGAAGATCAACCCTTCTTTTGCTGTATATTCAGGAAGCTAACCTATTCTCAAAAGACTCATTTGTTTGTTTGTTTTTTATTCTCTCTCTCTCTCTCTCTCTCTCTGTGTGTGTGTGTGTGTGTGTGTGTGTGTGTTGCTGGGAATCTAATCCAGCACCTCATGTCTGCTAGGCCAGTATTCTGCCATTGATCCATATCTCTCCTCTATAAAACAGAGTTTATAATGGTGTCCAGCTATCTCCATGGTGGGCTGTGTATGCCAAGTACTTATGGAAGATGACTCATTGATCTGACCCAGCATAACAGAAAAGCTTCCTTCTAGAACATGCTTACATATACGTTTATTTCTGTTCATCTCTGGCACAGGTATTGACATCTTGAAGCTTGTAGCAGCCCAGGTGGGAAGCCAGTGGAAGGACATCTATCAGTTTCTTTGCAACGCCAGCGAGAGGGAGGTGGCTGCATTCTCCAATGGATACACTGCAGACCATGAACGGGCCTATGCGGCTCTGCAGCACTGGACCATCCGTGGCCCTGAGGCCAGCCTTGCCCAGCTCATCAGCGCCTTGCGCCAGCACCGACGCAATGATGTTGTGGAGAAGATCCGTGGGCTGATGGAAGATACTACGCAGGTAATGTGAGCCCTCTGTGGTTGTGCTTTGCCACTAATCTACTTGTCCTTGAACTTTACATTTCAGCAGGTATGCTTGCAAGGAAAAACAGCTGATATTTGAGGTTTGGGTAAGCGTGGGCGTGCACGCGCGCAATGCACACACTAAAAGCACACCTCTGCTCTTTAGGGCAGTGGCTGTGTTTTACAGTCATCATGGGACTTCTGACATTGTTTGAAGCTTGGAACCACACTGTGCAGCTGCCAAACACAATCCCTAGGTGATGCATCTAGAACCATTCTTTGTTAAAACTAGTTTAAAACCTCATTTTTCATTGCATGTTTTGAACAAAATCAAACAGGGAACCTTTCCTCTCCCAGAGGGTGTGAGCATGTGAGTTATCTGGCTTAGTTAGGGAGGCCATCTTTGCTTGGTCTTACCTCCTGAGAATTCGAGTGGTACCAACAGCAGTTGGTAAGAGGATTGACCTGCCTTGGTTATTCAACCACCTTCATCAGATGGGGAACTGAGGATGTTCCAAGGGTATATATTATTAGTGTCAGTGAGCACTAGTTTTGGAGCCAAACAACCCTGGATATGAATCCTGACTCTAACACTTGTTAGAGGAGTGATCAAAGATAGGTTACATTCAGTTTTTCTGATACTGCTCACATTTGCAAGTCTTCTTTGCAGACTGTCTTAGTTAGGGTTTTACTGCTGTGAACAGACACCATGACCAATGCAAGTCTTATAAAGACAACATTGAATAGGGGCTGGCTTACAGGTTCAGAGGTTCAGTCCATTGTCATCAAGTGGGAGCACAGCAGTGTCCAAGCAGACATGATGCAGACAGAGCTGAGAGTTCTACAGCTTCATCTGAAGGCTGCTAGCAGAATACTCATTTCCAGGCTTCTAGGAGTAGGGTCTTAAAGCCCGTGTCCTCAATGACACACCCGCTCCAACAAGGCCACGCCTACTCCAACAGGACCACACCTCCAAATAGTGCCACTCCCTGGGCCAAACATATACAAATCATCACAATGTGTACACGTATTTTATCTGCATGTTATGTGTGTACACCATGTACATGCCTGTTACCTTCGGAGGCCAGAAGACAGTGCAGGATCCCCTGGAACTGGAGTCATAGATGGTTGTGAGCCTCTATGTGGGTGCTGGGAGCCAAGCCCAGGTCCTTTGCAGGAGCATCCAATGCTTTTAGCCACTGAGCCACCTCTTGAGCCTCTGTGTTGTGAATTTTTAAGAGTTAATTTTTGAGGACCACTATACACAGCTACAGCTAAGCTTTTAAATAGTTGGGTTTGGAAAAGCAAGAGGAATATCTATCCTCCATTTAAATAAGATTCTTGCAGTTGAAATAGAGGGATTGCAGAAGTGTATTATGCTTTCATGATTACTGGCTTTCTCGGGAGGAACTGGTCAACAGCAGACTGAAGATGGATTCAACTGTTTAGGAATAAACTGCCTGGTCTCCCTGACAACGCTGAGGAGAAAGAGAATGCAAATAAGGCCACATTAGAACCTGGTTATTCCAAACCTGTGATGGTCCCTAAAGGATAAGAAGTGACTGTAGACAGGCATGGTGGCCCATGCCTTTGATCCATCTCACCACTCTGGAGGCTGAGGCAGGCAGATCTCTGTGAGTTTGAGGCCAGCCAGGTCTACAGAGTGAGTTCGAGGACAGGCAGGGTTACATAATGAGACCCTGTTTCAAAAAACAAACAAACAAACAACCATCCCAAAAGTAACTAACTAAAATAAAATAAATAATAAGAGGTGACTGATATGTAATGGAAATTAATAACCTAAGAGGCATCAAAAATCTATGAGTGAATTAAAACTCACAGTACCTCTTCCAGCATGCTAAAATCTTAGTCATGCTTCTTTTTTTCATCTCTTCTCAACAGAAAAAGAAAGAAAAAAGAAAATCTAACCATACCTTCCTTCCTTCCTTCCTTCCTTCCTTCCTTCCTTCCTTCCTTCTTTCTTTCTTTCTTTCTTTCTTTCTTTCTTTCTTTCTTTCTTTCTTTCTTTCTT